CCCCAAAACCCCAAAACCCCAAAACCCCTAGGTTCATTATTGATATATATTAAATAGTAATAGATCATGAAATTAAGATATAAATTTAAATTGCTAAAACTGATATATAACTATTCATCATTAATTGATATCATTAGTGTTAAGTGTAATTTTTCCAAGTATTTTATTAAGAGTTTATTACTTGTATATAGGAAGAAATTTCTTAGGGGGGCTTCGAGAATTTACAAATAAATCTTGATTCTTAGGCGGATTTGATGAGTAAGCATTGTTTAGAAATCTTTTTTAATCTAGCTACTTAGTAATTTTTTGAAAAGCATGATGACTATTATCTATGGTCTAAGTCTTTAATACACTTTGATTATATGCATTTCTTTGTATTACTGATTTGGACCTTTGGTCTAAAGTAAAATAGTCATAATTATTAGAATGATTGCTCAATAAGTTTCCTATTGATTAATTGCTATTGTTTCTTTAACTTATTTTGTGCTAAGACATTGAATTCATTTTTAATTATGGAAGTGATTATTTTTTCCTGTTTTCATAAATGATTGAGTCATTTTTAAGCAGTTCTCTTTTAAATTATTCAAGCTTAGTCCATTGTCTATCCTTGAACTAAGGATTGATTGTTATCGACTCTCTTTCTGTATTTATTTTTGTAGTAGGTGTGATAATAGTCTAATGTAAATTACTCATTGTGGCGATTTCTAATGGCAACTATAATTATATCTAGGATATAGATTTCCCTTGAAAGCCCTACGATTTTTAAGACTTAACTTATAGTCCTAATTGTAACTTCTAGTTCTAGAATTCTTGACCTTAATAATCACTGAAATCAGTTATCTGCTTCAAAGGGCGCTAATTAACTTATACATTCACTTTAATCTCGGTAAAAGACTATTGATCTCTTTATGTTGAAATATTGAACATGTCTTCACCCTCCATTAAACTGTTGTTAATAATGTTCGATTAAGATTTATTTAAATCTGGCAGCACAACTTTTGACATGCTTAACTTGTCATCAGACTATTAATATGATTCATTTTAGTTATAAAATTCAGATTGTTAGTTTAGATGTTAGTTCTCAATCTGTCTTACTTTTATAATGGATTTGAAATTTTCATGCTGACTATCTGGTTTTTTTCCAAGAGTTCTTCGAAGAGCTCTGGCTAATTTGAGCTTTAGCTTTTTAATATTCTCTTACTACCTAATGTGAGATTTAAAGGATTATTCTCCTTTAGATTGTTCCTCATTTTCTCTGATTTTCTCTATTCTTTAACTTGTAGTAAACATTACTAGATTTGGATTATTACTGCTTTGTTTCATTATAGCTTTCCTAATATTATGAATGGTTTAAGTATTTGAGACTGGATATGTATTCTTTACATGATCAAATGTCTTTTCAAATGTATTGGTAAGGGGATCCATTGCTTGAATCTCCTTTCTTATCTTATGACATGTCTCTAATCTTTCTCTTATCCAGTCTAATTTTTCCATTGTCTTTACTTGCATTAGTTGATGAACTTCTGGAGTAAATTTATGTTAAAAATCTGAAACTAATACTTTCAGAACTTTAACATCACTTACTGCAATGGCTGTATATAATAGCGGTAGCTTCATTAATACAAATTCCTCACCAAGCCATTACCCTTATTAGACCAAACCAATATTATTCTCTACTGTAGTTCTGGATAAATTACCTAAACCAGCACTATTTTTTAAAAGTAGCTTCTCAGATTTCTCATTAAGTTTCAGTATTTTATTATATTTTTAGGTATATGGGTTAGAGGTAGTAGTTAGTTTTATCTGTCCTTATGCTATAAGATAAACATATTAGAGTTAAGTATTTTCTAAAAAGAGCGGCTAGTTTGGAGAAAAATTTTCCTCTTAAAACGTTTAAATCATTCTTTACTTCTACTTTAGAGTGTAATTAACCAGTAATGGAACATGATTATATAACAAATCTGCAAACTGATTGTAATTAGCCCAAAAAGACTTAATTATCCTTATCATCTTTTTATAAGGCAGTCTTAATAGGACACTTTTCTTCTCTATTGTAATAATCTATCGTAATCTATCATCAAACTTGTTAACTTTACGCGGATACTTGGCTAAGGGAGTCTCTGATAATTATTAGGTAACAAGATCATATATCTTTTTGTAGTACTCCATATAATTAGGTCTTACTATATTAATAGTAATATCACTGATTGTTTAGTTTTTAGATATTGTTGAATATGCTTTAAATTTATCAGATTCATTATCAGGATCCTTCAGATATTAAGTAACAATTTTCATTATCTCCTCATCTTCTTTTTTAAGTGATTACTTTTAGTCCTCCTCAAAGGTTTCAGTCTAAAAGTAAGGCTTTATAAGTAATTTGTTAAGTCTAGTGCCAAGTCTTTAAAGAATTTGAATCTAATCTTTCCTTTCCTCTTCTTCTTTGGTCATCATTTTTATATCATCATCAGTCTAATTTGGATCAAATATTTTTGTAACTTCAAATATTAGTTAACATTTTCCTGAGAACACAAAAAAAAAGTCTAAATATACTGAATCATTAATTGTTAATGTTGACTCAAATTTTTCAATTTCAATATTGTCCTATATACTTTTATCATCATTCAAAGTTAGCTCGACTACTTCGATTTCCTTAAAGATTTCTCCGATCGCCATTTATGATAAGTCTTTGAATTCTTTAGTTCTTTAAATCAATTAAATGAATTCCCTTGGAATTTCTTGCTGTTAAGTTGGATTATATTTGGATCTCTATTTGAGTGCTTGTAGTATTTTTCTGTCTTGAGTCATTTAATTATTTATAGTTAATTATCTACAAATAAAATATTAATCCTCCATATTTTATCTATTATTGAATCGTGGGGTTTTGGGGTTTTGGGG